GATGTCCAGATCCTCGAAACTAGGCTTGATTCGGAAGCCGTATAAGAATTACACTTCTGTTGCTTCAACCCTGTACCTAGAGTCCCCATGCAGCCCTCGTAGAATTCCTCCCTCTAAAGTAGCCAACTTATACGTGCCGGGCTTAAAGAATTATTAACGGCATCCCGAAATTTTAAGGCTTTAACCCTACCCCTGTGTTCTTGGGTCTCTGACAGCCAGGACCGAGCCCGCAAAGAGGTTGTAGTGGACCTTAGGATTTGCTTGACTCCTGTGGTCACGCTGGTTCGAACAAGCCATTACTACTGTTACTATTACTACTAATTATTGGTATTACTACTATTATTCGTACTATTTATATTCATATTAGTACTGCTATTGTTATTACACTACCTGAAAACCCCTTACAAAGATTTGATTGCCAGGAGGTTGCTAAAATGGAGAACAACCTAGCGTCCAATCAGTGATGTGAAGTACTCGAACACTGAACTAGAGAGGGATGCAACAAATCGTGAAACCTCTTGCAGCTGAGCAGTAGTACATCTTGTGGTGAGCAGAACGTCTCCCGTCTATGTAACTTCGGATTCTTGTGGCGCATTCCCTGAGGTTTTCCTTTCACAAAAATATTCTCTCAGCTGCAGGATAGTTTGGCTTGCCCTTGGAGTCCCAACCCTGGAAACGAACCATAACTTGCCAGCACAAACAAGGAGGATGAGGGCTGGTCCTCCGAAACCCTGCATCAAAAGACAGAGCTTGCGTGGCTGCCCCTTACCCATGAACAGCGATAACGTGCGACCTCTCCAACAATCCCAATTTCCAGGTCCTCAAACTCCAGCCCTAAAATCTAAACTGCAGTAAAGTACGCCAAAAACTTCAACACCAGGGAAGATCTGCTAAAACTGAGTCCAAGGGCCGTAAATCGAATCCAAAAGCCTGGTCCGAGCTTGGGCGCATGGTGTGCCAGCAGGCGATGTGCCTCGTAGCCAAGTTCAAGAGTATGGGCTGCACTTGAACCAGCATCCCTGCTAATTTGTGTATGTGGCTACAAGATACCTAATACATACGCCAAAACAGCACAATTGTAGCTTCTTTTGTTTAGACTAGAATATGAACTGAACGCAGGAGCATCTCATGTACAACTATTCTGCTAATTGCATGCTATGGCTCCGAGCGCCGAATGCTCAAGGGGCGATTGCACTAGAGGTGTCATAGAAGGGGCCGTGCTATCTGGCTATCTGTGGGAACTTCGTGCAGGAATCCACACAATCCTTCCCAAGAACCTTGACTACCACCACCGCGCAGGCCCAAGGGCATTGCATGACCTTACCGAGAATTGGGACCCTGCAAGGCAGTAATCGCCCTTGCATGCCAGTCTCTAGGCTCTTAATCTCTTAGCCTAAGAAGAGCCAAACGCAACTTGATGACGGCCACCTCAGTCTGACCCTGTGATTGGTTTAGCCTGACACAGACCAAGGCCTCAAAGAACTTGGCAGGGTCCTTGGTTGCGCTGAACGCTCAATAAAGTTTACTTAACTTTAGGCTTTACGTCTTCAGGCTCCGCTCGTAAAAGGGCCCTATTCAAAATACCACTTGTCTAGGGGCTTCCAGAAACAGGAGCCCAAAATAGACCACCTTAAACTGTCATCCCTATAAGGACCCCCCCAAAAGGGGCCAGAATTTTTGGAAACAGAAATCCCTATAAACCACCATACATTCCAAGTTTCTCTTGAATTTCCCGTGTTCTTGGCCATATGATTGTCCGTTATCCCTGGGCTCTACATGAACCCTGCACATCTCTTAGGGGACCTAAGGTTTCCATTTCATTGCCCACATTGTGCATGTTACCTGAAACCGAAACCCTAAAACCCTGAACCCCAAACCCTAAACCCCGCACCCTAAGCCCCAAACCCAAAACCCGAAACCTAAATCTAAACCCTAAACCATAAACCCTATAAGCTGTGTTGTTCCCCATCACTACTAAATCGTTCCGTGGGGTTCTCGGGATGCTGATCGCTACTCATCAACCCAGGTTCGGCCTTGCTGCAACATGTTTCTATAAGCCATGTGTGTATGTATGTATGTATGTATGTAGGTAGGTAGGTAGGTAGGTATGTAGGTAGGTAGGTAGGTAGTTAGGTAGGTATGCATATGTCTATGTGCATGCGTATGTGCATGTAAAAGTGTCTGTGTTCATGGAAAAAAGGATGCATGCATTTATGTAAACATACGTGTTATACATATATATATATGTATAGAAATAGATATACATGTAGATCTCTGCAAAGTCCATTTCATGTCCCACGTTTGCCTTTCCGGTTAATTCTCTGCTATTCATCTATGTATTGCCCCTATGGTATCCCTTTTCGAATCCGACTCATATTAGCACAGGGTCATTCTTCAAGTCTGTCAGCTTCAGAAGGCCAGTTTTCTGTAGCTCTCGGAGTTGCTCAGCGCTCTTCTCGTAACCCAGGTCGCTCCGGATCTTGGACACAGCCTGGCAACAAGCAGTCCAGAAACAAAGTGCTGAAACATGTGTAGATGACACCTGCCTTGGGCTCTTGAAGTCAGCAAACGGGTGGTTGGGGTCCCTATAATAATACGGCACCTAATATTTTGGTTACCCAAAAAGGGACCATAATTTTGACAACCACCCAAATATTACCTACTGAGGAGTGGAGGCTGGGCAGGGCACAGCCTCTTTTGTGAACGACTTGGGGCAGAAAATGCAGCGAGCCAACAACAACGTATAAACAGGTTGCGGGGTGACTCCGAGAGTCTTGATGTCCGTTTGATTGTGAAAAAATGAGGGTCTACGCCAGCGCAGATGCAGAGAACAGTGTAATAAAGAGGAACCCAAAAAGGAATTACCATTTTGTTATATTATGTAGACTACGCCTGCACTTGCCCTAATCTCTATTGTTGAGTACTATGTAACCCCACTTCCAATTTCATCTGGCATTGTTGTTGCCATTTGGTTGTCCATGATACCCTTATGCAACCCTATAGGCCCGTATATAACATTAGTTACCCCCTACACAAACTCTGCATGCCCCATGCTAGCCTGGATCCACTGATCGCGCCACGCTGCAGACACGGCCATCTTTGCAACACAAGCACCTGGACCTGGCTTAACCATACACCAAGATTTAGGGGATTCATGTAGAGGTCATGTGCGATTTTATTAGGATATTGCCCCAATCATGGACACTCAAACGGAAAAGCACATGGAACATGAAATGGGACATGGTATGGAAACTGCCGAATAACATCTGCTGGCCGTTTTTGTCTGGGTGTCCTGGAGGATCTAAGTACCCAAATGATGGGGCTTTCGATCCAGAAATCTACATGACCAGCAAAGGTCAGGCGTATTTCTGGGTCATCCTGCCTATCCCCCTAAACCCTAAACCCTAAACCCTCCCGCGTCCTACACAATCGGAGTGCTTTACATACATCTGACCTACCCTGGGTTGGTGCTGAGGAACTCAAACCAAGTACGATATTCAGGCAACCCCACATTGTCCTGCATCCCCATATTATGGCAACTTCAACCCTAAACCTTATATCCCTAGATAACCCCTATATAACTCCTGTATAGTCCCTATATTCCAATATGAATATTCTGGTAATTTAATTTAAGCTCCTTAACAGTGACCCAATTTCAGTCGGAAGGCCTCTGGGTGTGGGCGCAGTAAACCTTTCCCACCAGAGCTTGAGCCGGCACTATGGAGCAGAAGCCTTTTCTGGGTTGCGGCTAAAAAGCTTTCCTTAAGCCATCAACATGGGTGTATGTATGGTACATGTATAGTTATATACTTTCTTAAACGCTAATCCCAAAATCCTAGACCCTAAATACTTTCTCCCTGGGCGCATTACATAGTCAAAAAATGGGATCTCCGACTACCACCTTACTACATACTCTTACTATAGTAACTTCAACCCTAAAGCCTATATCCCTATAAAACCCCTATATAATCCCAATATGCAAACATTAATATCATGGTATCTTAATTTCCCGAACAGCAACCCAGCGCAGGCCAAGAACCTGGCCGACCTACTCTAGCTGAAGCTGGGTCTAATACAATCTAATATAGGGGTTATAAGGGTATATAGGGGGCATATAGGGGTTCTATATTTAGGGTTATATGGGGTTATGTAGCCTAACAGCTGGGAGCCAATGGTACGAATAGTAGTAGTGTGAGTAAATCAAATATCACATTACCAGCCAAAACTGGCTTTCCTCAGTGAAGCATCAGACGGTTTAGGGCTTAGGGTTTAGGGCAGTTTAGGGTTTAGGGCATGGGAATTTGGTGGCACTGTAGCAGGCGCAGCCATGCGCGTGACAGGAACGCGCTGGAAGACGCTAGAACAGTACAAGCAAGCAACCGGTTCCAGGACATATGAGCAATTGCCTAAACTCCGAGTATCCGCCTTGATAACCCCTATATAATACTCCCCTGTTACTCCCCTGTATGTAGTTTAGACCCTAAACCCTTTATAACCCCGTATATAGCCCCCTGTAAGGAGTTTAGCTCCCCTATGGTTTTGGAGATTCCTGGGCTCTTCAGCTCCCCTTATAAAAACAATCCCCAGCTCCTCAGCTCCGCCCAAAAGTATGGGCAGTTAGACTATAGCTCATCTGAGTGATGTTTCTCTGGTGGTTCAACCCAGTAAGATATTATTCCTTCTAAAATACTATACCCAAAAGGAGGATATAATCTTACTCTATGTTGGGTACCATGTATCCCCAAATAAAATACTATATCCCCAATATACCCCCTATATAATCCCAGTTTCCATTTCATTGTCCATTCTCTTTTCCATTTGATTCTCCATTATTGGGGGAATATTGGGTACCATAGTATCCCCAAATAAAATCCCTAAACCCTAAACCCTGAACCCTGAACCCTAAACCCCAAACCCTAAACCCTAAACCCCGAACCCCAAACCCTAAACCCTAAATACCATAGTATCCCCAAATGAGATACTACTCATCTGCGGCAGGCCTCGGCTCCCTCCGCATCCGCAGCTTTGGCGCACGCGTTCAGAGCCGAAGCCTCTGCTCAAATGGGTGGTTGTCAAAATCATGGTCCCTCTTGTCCTAGGGCCTACTGGTTTGCTAGTAGGGAACAAGGGAGTATACTACAAAGGGACTATATAGGAAACAAGGGAATATACTACAAAGGGACTATATAGGGAAAAAAAGAGTATACTACAAAGGGACTATATAGGATATGTAGGGACCATTTTCATTCTTCCCTAGTAACATTCAGAAAGATGACAGTTTCAGCAGTGGCAGTGACGACTGCTTGCTTGAGAATCTTGATATTTGGGTTTCCGTGGGCCGTCAGTGACTGCTAGTGGTTTAGATAATAGGCCTCATGAGGATATGTTCGTCATTCTGTTTCAGAAACAGACAAGTGGCAGGTTGTCTTAGAGAAAATTATCATCCTGTAGACGCCTCTGCTCACTGATTAATTACCGGGAGGGCGCAGATTTTTCGTGGGCAACTTTATGTGTAAAGGTATGATGGCCAAAGAAGTGCTGATACATCCGCCGCATTGGCACCGGCCCAAACCCTAAACCCTAAACCCTGAACCTTAAAACCCTAAACCCCAAACCCTGAATCGCGTGAGGGGCATCTAAGGCCACGACATAACAAACCTCAGCTCGGCTCAACAGTCCAGCAGCAACAACCATTGGGTTGCTAGGGTTTAGGGTTTTGGGGTTTTTGCCGCTTGCATGGCCATACAGCATCGCAAGGTTAGAATCCGGGTCAAATCACAAATCTACTGAACTCCATCAAACTGCTGCCCCGACGCCGGCTAGAATCCGAACCACATCAACCCCGAGTAAGGAAACCCGACCAAATCAGCGTCGAAACGCACGCAGCTACCCTCCTAGCAAAACATGCAAATACAATTCGCGTGTCTGCATGCAGGCCCCATGGCTTCAGTCCAAGAACTGCAGCATGGCCATACAGCATCGCAAGGTAACAAGTCGCGTCTCTCAAGGGCCCAACACAGACACGCCGTGCTACATTTGGGGGTTTGGGGGCTTAGGGTTTAGGGGATTTAGGGTTTAGGGGGTTAAGGGTTTAGGGTGCTGCTGAGGAACTTAAACTAAGTTCCCATGACAAGGGAATATAGATTTCAGGGTTCAGGGTATATAGGGTTTAGCGTATATAGGGCTTATAGCGTTTAGGGTTACTGTAATAAGGAGAGCCCATGATTATCATATACTATGCTATTTTCTTGCGGTAAGTTAATTTAAGTTCCTTCGCAGCAACCCAGGAACCGCAACCTCAAAGGGGAGGGGGGAGGTAACCTGAGCCTACAGCATGAGTAAGGGTAAGAGTAACGGTTGCAAAGTAAGACCCTAGCTGCTTACGTTCTAGCTAAGAGCGCGGCAACGGTGATAGGCACACCAGAGCTTTCAGCCTCTTCTTAGTGAAGGCTGCTCTTCTTGTAGCAGAGGCAAGCTTCATTATGGCTTTGATTTTGCAGGTTTGTGCTTTGGTTCGTGTGATGCTCCAGACATGATGGGTACAACTGCAGCGCTCTGTAAAAAAGGTAGCAGAATCTGCGGGCGCAGGATGTTGCAAGTAAACATGATACCGCATGTCTACACTGCTGTCTACCTTACTAGAATAGAGCCTTGACAGCCATGCATGCAAAGGAGAGCCTGAACACCGTGACATCTGCTGTAAATAAAATGAGGTTTGCGACGATTCAGGAATCCCGTGCAAGTCCGTACAACAACAGTATGTAGAATGGCTTACCTTCAGAAATCGGGAAACCCTGCGTTGAAAACTATGCGCAGTGAAGAGTGGTGAAGCACAGTACTTCTGGATATTTATCTCAACAGCTATATCAGGACGATATGGTTACATGGTTCCGTTCTGTGCTAGCCAGCCTTTAATGTAGTATGAGTGGGGGCCTCAGCCCAGGAGCCTCCACCCCCAAATCTAAACCCAAAAGCTGTAACCTTGGAATTTAGGGCTTAGGGTTCAGGGTAGATTGGAACATTAAAATCAGCCAAACCCGAAAGCGAAACACAACAAACGCTGAAGCGTGCTGCTACAAGTGCCCCAAAAAGGTGCGCCTCACAAAGCCAGTGTCGAGCCAGGTCTGGCCTTGAGTCTTCAAGAGGCTAGCAGGGTTTAGGGTTCAGGGTTTAGTAGCTCTGATTTTCATAATTTGGTCCATAATTAGGGATCATACTGAATCGGGATTGCCCGAATGCGCCTTGTTCTAAACTCCTAGTATCCCCCCTTACTAACCCCCGTACTAGCACCCTATATAAAGATAATGGAAAAGAAGATGGAAACTACCATTCAGCAAGCAAGGTCTGTGCACCTCATGTCGTGGTATTTGTCCAAAAGCAAGTGGCCCCTGGTGCACCCACACACGCAATGGATGTTTGGAAATGGACCTCCCAGAAAGGGTACTTATTTCCAAAAAATGCAAAATCTCCGCCCAAAAGGAGGTTCCAAGGGGAGGCTTCCCTTCCAGCCACTCAAACACGGAGGCTTCAGGGATTCTTCCCGGCATGTAGTTGTTACTCAAACCTTTGAGGACTGCGAAAATTGAGATAAGGCGCGTAATGCTCATGCAAAATGGTGGCTGTACCATTCTAGAGAGCACCCCGTCTTCGTTCCTCAGATGATCCCAAGAAAAACGATGTGCAGGGCTCCTATCTTCCATCTGCCTGTCGCACTCATCACAAGCTCTGCAGTGCAGAAGGCGCCCAAACTGATCTAGGTTATGTTGGGGTTGTATTGGGATAATGGGAAATAGTGGAAACTACTATTTTGGGTTTAGGGTTTAGGGCTTTAACATCTACATTTGATGTTACCTCAGGCCTACTGCTGGATGATGAACAATGGAGCTGCGCAGAGGACAAGAGGAGCAAACACCCGAGGCCAGTGCTGACCAGCGTTGGAGGCGGCGTGGATGAGGGAGTTGTAGCCTTTCGACGGTGCAAACAAGCTCAGCAAAAAGTCTCCGGACAAGTCCTCTGAAAACCTCGCTCCATTGATCAGGCACATGTGGTTGAAGAAGCTTGCTGAAGGTCCTCTTCCCCCCAAAAGCAACCCCGGCAGACCCCTGCGGTTGCAAGAACACGTAAGCATGCTTCATTTGCTGCACACCAGACAGATTGACACCAGCCCCCAGCATGACCGAACTTACTCATGACATATCCATATACTGCAAAGTTGCATGTCCACCCCCCGTGCCCCAAGCAATGCCATGCATGCAGTCTGATGAGCCCGCGGCAAGCGAGATCTGCGATCACCTTAAAGCAGTTCTGCGATGCGAACTCAGGCTCTTTTACTTTTGGGTGCAACGCTCTATTTGTAAATATCGAGCTTTAAAATTCGTCAGATGAGAAGAAAGGTAGCCTCTGTCTTCAAGTGCTTCAACTCAAGAAGCTCCTATTCTGGGGTCACACGAGGGTGCCTGCCCTTGACAAACACCCGTTTAATGTCTGCACGTTAACCCACTCTGGCAGACTGGCGCGTGCGTACCTCCATCCAAAGCTGCTCAAAGCAGCCTACACAGCAAGTAGCAGCTAACCTCCTACCCTTGCTTACGCCTGCATCTTGCAACCAGTCATCTAAATGATGTCAAAGCAGCCCAACAGTGACTTAGCTACTACTACCCTATAAGAAGAACACAGGACCTTGCTGGAAGCTCAGTTTTACCCGTGTCAGGACTGGAAACCCAACACGTCCAAACCGTACGCTGCATACTGCGACAACTACCACGACGACAACGATGAGAGCACAAGCATGCGGCCAAGGTTGATTGGGGTTCTATTATGGGTATAATGGACAAGAAAATGGAAACTACAATAATGCACTCTATAGGGGTATAGAATATGGGGTATATGGGGATCTAGAGGACAACCACGGGATCCCAACGTTGACCCAGGTGAGTCTGCTTTGCTTTGGAAGACAGGCTCTGCCGGACTCAGGCTCAAGCTCGCGCGTGCTGCATAGCGGAGAAGCACTTCTCCGCCCTGCACTTGCCCGGATATCCCAAGATATCCCAAGACATCCCAAGTTCCCATACTAAAACCAAAAACAATGGTTACAAAGGCTGCAACTATGGGCACCTCGCAGGTGAGGCAGAGGTTCACATGTAGGTTTTACGGCAGCTATAAGTTGGATAACAGTACGTATGTCTTTTATGAGGTATTCTTTCTCGGGATGTCGCTGTACCTTCAAGTAGGAACCTGTGGGAACTTCAGGGTTTATAGTCCCCCTTAAGTATATGGAGTATGGCTTTGGGTAGATTACAATAAGATCACCATATATCCCATATTCCATCTACTTAAGGGGGACTATATACCCTAAACCCTAAACCCTAAATAGTAGTTTCCATTTTCTTTTCCATTATCCCACTATAATCCATTATATGACCCCTATATGTACTTAAGGTGGACTTTAGAGTCGCGCTTAGGGTCGACCTCATTTTTTTTGCTGGACGAGACAGGGACTTTGTACGACACATGGCCTGCAGGAGCACGATGCCGGACTTCTACAAACCTGTAGTCCCCTTTAAGTAGATAGAATATGGCGTATATGGGGATCTTGCTATAATTATAATATACCCAAAGCCATATTCTATCTACTTATTAAGGGGGACTATACAAGAATCACTGCAAGACTGGTTCACTGAAGACAAGATCCGACCGTCCACCTTGCAAAATCAAACATCCCATGGATTATGAGCTGCGTCACCATCTACACGAGAGAGCCGGGAGTTACCTAGTATTCTCCAGGTGGACCCCCCACCCAGTAATAGTGATTGCAAGGGATACTAGGGATTATATTAGGGTCCTCTTATATTCCTATTATGCCACTGTTACAGGGTGGGGGGTCCTCCTAAAGTATTCTCGTTATAATAAGGAAGCAATATGAGCTGTAACCTGTCTCCGGTCCCCGACCACAGCAAGATTCCCCACCAATTCAACCTCCTTAAGGTTTACCAGGTGAGCTATAGTCTAAACTCCTAATATCCCTCTTAATAACCCCTATAGCAGTCCTGTATGTTATCCGCTATATAACCCCCTTTAAGGAGTTTAGACTATAGCTCAGGTAGGTCTGGATACGTCTGGGGCTGCCGGGCCTGTGAACATCCCCGGCCGTGGCGAAGGCATAGAGCGCTGTGGAGTAGCAGCCCTGAGTAGTCGGATCAGGTAATGTAGACCCATGAATAATAAACCCTCCTTTTGCGGGCCTTAATGCTAGGATCCTTATTGTAATCTCTATTAAGGGGAGGGGGTTTATTCATCAGGGGTCTACATTAATTGGGGAGTGAAAAAAAAGTCATGAGCAAATCAACTGGGAATAAATATGAGTGGATGAAGCATATCGAGCGTGCTATGTAGGCCCTACATGGGGATCCATGTAAGTTGTGGGGAACAGAACTGCACCCCACAACTTCAAATTTCAGCCCTTTGAACTCAACAGCTTCTTTTTACGTGGGTGTGCTTTTTCTGAACAAGAATCCTGCTCTATACCTCCAAAACAAACTGCTTCTACCAAGAAGATGCCCAAGCACAAATGCCTGAGACTCCCTCACCTTCCTATATGGTAGTTTCCCAAAATCAGTGGACCCCAATATAGACCCCCAAGTACTATAACCCTTACCACGCAGACCCCAATAAGGTACCCCTGACTTAGGAACTAGGAACCCACCCCCCTGTATAGCTGAAGAAACCTCTCTGCATGTGCGTACCGTTCGAAATAAGCCCTAGCCTAAACAACTCTCATAAACTGAATAGTAGCCCTAAACCCTAAACCCAAACCCTAAACCCTAAACGGTCTCATGTCCGTGTATTCCCTAGTCTCCCTGGGGCCACTCTTTTTGAGATAGGAAACTTCCGGACAAGATGCTGGCAGCTTGCGAAGAGAAGTCGGAATCAGAAATCCCGCGTCCCAAAATGGGGGTTTCCTAAAATTAGGGGTACCTTATTGGGGTTCCCCATAATAAGGACTATAGTATTTTGGGGTCTATTTTAGGGTCCCCTTATTTTGGGAAACCACCAAATAGGGTTCTCTCCTGAAGTCTTGGATGTCTCCTAGATGAGACGGACTTTATTATCTTGGAAACCCCCCGCAACAACTCAGGGAAGGTCGGTGTCCAAGCGCACACCGGCCTGCTTTCAGGGAAGGGGGCTCAGAGCGCGAATTTCAAGATTCCAAGCCTTTGCATGCTAGGGGCGCTTTGCGTTTGGGAAGTCTTTTGTCAGTATGTCTTCGGTCTCTCTCTTTCTTTCTTTCTTTCATGCGGGCTGTGGGATGACCCTGTAGGATCACCCCGGGCTCCTGCCCAGCCCTTGTTGGGCCTCTTGGTTTGAACTACACTCCTCAAAGACCACATCTCTTTCTTTCTTTCTTTCGTTCAGGCCATGGAGGAAGGAATTGCTTCCCTCCTCCGGGCTTCGCCGCCCAGCCCGTGTTGGGCATACTAGGTCCTACAGCACCCCTCGGTTCCAAAGGACGGCGGGCAAAGCAGTACATTAACATGTTAGGAGCCCCTAAACAAAACAACAACAAGTGGTCCTTTGGGGAATGCATGGCTAGCCTCGGAACTGTCAAAAACATGCGTTGCCTGGAGGTCGCCAGGTCTGGTCTAAATTTGGATTGAATTAGGATTGGATTGAATTTGAGGCTTCGTGGTATGGTCTGTATGCAAAGATTTGTACGAATTACTGGCAGCGGTTTGAACGCGGATTGAGTGGATTGTGCAACGAATTTCCACCGATTTCGGGGTGGCTCAAAATAACTTGGACGGATTGAAGTGTGCATTTAATTTGTGCCACTCATCTGTTATGCGCCTTTGTTGTTTGCGTCAAAGGAGGACATGCTAAAGTCAGCTGTTTTCCTCATTTGCCCGCTCCTAGGCTGTCGACATCCACGTCTATGGCATTGGAGGGCGCATTTGGCCTGGTGGTGGCCATTT